CCTAGACTCCACTCCTACACTCTAAATCCTTAAATTGACACGAGATTAGGTGACTACCACAACACTTAAAAGAATACAAATATGAAATTGATAAGTTCTGGTCTCTAACAACACACTGACCACAGCCTCTCTTGATCTAGTCTTATCTCAAATCTTACTTCTTCTTTGACTCTCTTAACTAACTGCTCAGCACCTAGGGTTCACTTCCTCTGCCATTTGGTCGTATTTGTTAGTCAACATCTATATTTGTTGTGTGTGTGTGGCCAAGCAGGTTCTTGATGTCAGGAATCATGTCTCATTCATCTCCACATCCATAGAGTTTAATGTAGGACCCAGTAGGGTCTCCTCACTAAACAATCAGGGTGATGAGGTCCCTTCCCATCCTCCACACTGCTCTCACGTTTCCTTAGCGTCAAGTGTGAGCAGAATCAACATCGATACACCAGCTGCTTATTAGATGCTTCTTCTAAATGTGAACAAGGCGAAAACTCAGTGCAGCATTGCACATAGTAGTCACACTTAAGTCCTAGAAAAATGTCCCCCTCTGATCAAATAATGTATGAAATGTGCTTCATTTGACTGATCAGTATAGATTTAAAGAATACAAGGAAATTCTCAAGGTATCACCTTCCCTATTAAAGCATGAATTTGCTATCTTAATTAGCAATATTATCTTGAATGGACATTCATCTGGATCTAAATGTGTTTCACCCCCACAAGGAAGGATTTTACCCTATGAAAAAAAAATGTATACCGGACTTCATCAAGTATTCTAAAATTCTACCCAGCCAGTTTAGAGAATAATCTGAATATAAAATAATAATGATGTTGACCTCAGCATACAGAGGTGACTGTGACTCGGACTCAATCTGATGGCAACTAGTTTTGAGTTAGTAAGTCTTCAGATTAGGCACAGAAGAAAAGAGCAAATTTCTCCCATCTGCGCACTAATGAAAGAAAAAAATCTTTCCTCTTAAATCTTTACTTTGATTCTCCCAGAAATCACTCGATGCTGATCCCAGCTGCTGCCACTGCATCTCCCTACATCCAAAGGTCAGAAAATTTGCTTATGGTTTCCATAGCAACTGCAATCTGGCCACCTATTATAACATTAAAAGACCACTAAATATATTTTAAGGACAAAGCATACAAACACATTCACCACACAGGTACACACATTGGACCCGAATCATGATTATAAATGTACTCTGACCAACAATGTAAGATTAAAAAAAAATTAAAATTCTCTAGGGCAAATAAACTTGGGACATATCCTGGACAAGTTGCACTGATTTATGCCAGTGATGGAGAGGGAAAGGTGGCCCATCCATTATCAGAAGACAAATGACATCATCGTAGGCAAATGCGAAGAGGGTAGCCAAGAAAGCACAGAGCAGGGTGAGTGATGGTCCCGCCTTGGTGACACTGCTAATTTCGCTGCACTGAAAAATCCTGTCTGGAGAAGGTTTCATAAAGAACAACTGGAGGTCTGGGATTTACTTTATCAAAAATAAATGAAACTTTCTCCCCCAAAGATCCTGCTTTGCATTTGAGTTTATACCCTTGTATTAAAATGGATGAGATGTCTTTTAGTTTTAAGTTGCACATCAACTATGAGAAAATAGGCATGGCTCTAGAGAAAATATCATTTTAAAACCAGAGTAGTAAAAGTTAACATGGGGATGGTGGAGTAATTACACCTATTCCTCACTTATCAACCTTCTCATTTCCCAACATTGTACATTTAACAATAATTAAAAAAACAAAAACAAAAACAAAAACCTACTATCTGACTAATTTTCACATGAACAAGGGGTCCAGGGGAGTGAGGCAGGAGGAGGGTGAGGTTTGGGAGATAAGGGAGGTTCTGGATAGGCTACAGGCTAGCTACAGTTTGTCTTACCCTGGTCCAGTAGCGCTGGGGCAATAGAATGCCATATCTGACCTCTAAATCCATTGGCCTGTTTCATTTGACTGCCTCTACAGGGGGTATTTAATAAATACTCCAAACCAAATACACTCTCCTTGAGTCGATTCCGACTCAAAGCCACCCTAAAGACAGAGTAGAATGGCTCCCGTGGGTTCCCAAGACGATAGCTAGACATGGGAGTGGAAGGCCTCATCTTTCTCCCATTAATAAATACTAGGGGGAGGGTGGTGGTAAAAAGTTCATTAAAAATGGAATTAAGGAACTAGAGGAATGTTGTGTGTTCTGTCGGTGCTCTGCTGCGCCCTGTCTGTCTTGTTCTTTCTGTGTGACCCTTCTGTGAGGGAATGTCCAATTATCTACAGATGAGCTTTGGGTCTCACCTCTGACCCCAATCATTTGCATTGATATATTTGTTTGTTTGGGGTCTTCTGAAGCTTGATACCTGATCCTGTCAACACCACGTCATCACATAAGCTGGTGTGCTTCTTCCACGTGGGCTTTGTTGCTTGCCTGCTAGATGGCCTCTTCTTTAACTTCAAGCCTTTAAGACTCCAGATGCTCTGTCTTTTAATAGCCAAGCATCATGAGCTTTCTTCATCAAATATGCTTATGCACCCATTTTGACTTCAGTGATCCTATTTCATTTTACTTTTCTCCTGTCCCAATATCATGTTCAACTTTCATTCGACTCTCAGTACTTTCTCTTGGTTACACTGCACTTGATCAGCACCAGTGGAACACACAACATTTCTCTAGTTCTTTAACACTTCCTTCCCCCCAGCGATCATGACCCCAGTTTTACCTTATACCTGGGTAGGCTGAAGCATGTACTCTGGTACAAATAAGAACTTTAGACACATGGAATCCAGGACAGATAAACCCCTTAGGAACAGCAGTGGAGTACCAATACCATGAGGGTAGGGGCAAGGGAGGGGAAGAATGAGGAGACATTGGGCACTGGTGACAATGACTGATGTATAATTCCCCCCCCTTCCCAGGGGGATGAACAACAGTAACATGGGCAAAGGGAGACAGTGAGTGATGTAAGATATGAAAATAATAATTTATAATTTATCAGAGGTCCCTGAGAGAGGGGGAAAAAAAAGAGGAGCTGATGATACCAAGGGCTCAAACAGATAGAAAATATTTTGAAAATGATGATGGCAACAATTGTACAAATGTGCTTGATACAATTGATATATGGATTGTTATAAAAGCTGCAAGAACCTCCAATAAATGATTTATTAAAATGAAAATATATATGCATATATATATTATGACATTAAAGAGAACTTGTTCACATTATCCAAAGGCCAAAAAAAAAAAAGAAAAGAAAAGACAATGGCATTTTTCCATGAACTGTGTGCTCCAAAGGTATTTATTAGGACGGTTGGTGTAAAATCAAATCTCAGCAGTGAACCCATCAAACTAAGATCTTCTTTCAAACTCTTACTTTGTTTTGGAAAGATGACTTCTGCTGTCACTAGTGGTGTAGCTTGTTTAAGAAATTATGAAGGCTTTTTG